TCCGTGCTTCTGATTAATAGGGGGCCCCCCTCCCCCCCCGAGAATAATGGCAGGGTCTCTTATTTCCTGGGCTGGGATGGGGGGGGGGGGGGGGTGGGGGAGGAGCGCGGAAAAGGGCTGAGTTCCGGCCCAGTAAGGGGTAGGTCAGGAGCGAATGATTTGGGCAATGATCCTAGATGAAAAGTAGTAAGGAAACGCCGTTTTCTGCTGCAGCCTCCAATTCCAAAAAATCGAGAGCACGTCGTATCATTGCTTAAGCAATTCAAAATCTCTGTGCTTCTCGTCCTCGCAGGCCGGCGGTCTTTCCGTTATTCCTGTAGCCTTCAGCAAATCCAATTTTTTTGGGCCCCCAAATCTTTTGCTGTAAATGTCGGGGGTTTGTTTGTGCTTTTTGGGGCTGTTGGCTCCCGTACTTGAAAGTAGTCTTCCCGGAGGTTTCGCGGCAAAAGTCTGTTGCTTTAAATTTCGGGAGCTTTATTCATCAGATCCTTGGATTATGACTGCTGTGATAAACAACACGATCTGCCTATGGTCCATATGGCTCCCTGGTTCTTCAGGCTTTGGGCTTTGGGCTTAGGGTTTAGGGTTCAGGGTTTAGGGTGTAGGGTTTCGCACTACACCCCGACATCTGCCGTGCTGCTCATGTTGTTCTGCACCCCCGGCGCCTTCTCGGCACTGAGCAGGTAGGAGGTCGTCTTCTGCCCCAAAGACAACGGCGACTCGGAAAGAACCCAGCCCACATGACCTTGTTGGCATCCCCTACCTGGAACCCAAACCCAGAAACCTAACCACTAAACACTAAAAGCTAAACACTATCCGAAGAATAGGGTTTAGGGTTTTGGGTTTAGGGTTTAGGGTTTAGGCTTTTGGGTTTAGGGTGTAGGGTTTAGGGTTTAGGGAAAGAAAATGTGTTGCCAGCCGCGCTCAGCTGCTAAGAGCGATGCCAAGCCATCTGGCCTCAACATCCTCAAAGCATCCAGACTCTGCACAGATGCCCCCGAAACCCTTAGCCCTAAACCCTACACCCTAAACCCTAAACCCTAAGCTCTATTCTTTGCATGTTTCGAAAACCCTAAACCCTCAACACCAAACCCTAATCCCACCCCCACCAAACCCTAAAGTCAGAACCTACAAGCCTCGTGAAACTTTAGCATGGCGCTTGACGCACATTGCCTTTCGCCTATAGGGACTGCTTGTACATGTGGAATACCTAAACCCCCTAAGCACTGATTTTCAACAACCGCCATCCCCTCCGTAAGCGTATCTGGGGCAGCTTCTGACCTAGTGATAGAAAGGACAAGATGGGTCTAGCAATGTTCTCGGTCCCCGTTGTTACGGCAGTCGCCCAGTTCCCAGAGAGGACACACCCCTAACGGCTCCAGCATGTCGGATGTGGGGGTTTCCAGACAACTCCCTTCATCCTTTCAAGGGTACTCTAGAGTCGGATCAGACGCAGAGATCGATTGCAGGGCTTAGGGCTTAGGGCTTAGGGCTTAGGGCTTAGGGCTTAGGGCTTAGGGCTTAGGGCTTAGGGCTTAGGGCTTAGGGCTTAGGGCTTAGGGCTGAGGGCTTAGGGCTTAGGGCTTAGGGCTTAGGGCTTAGGGCTTAGGGCTTAGGGCTTAGGGCTTAGGGCTTAGGGCTTAGGGCTTAGGGCTTAGGGCTTAGGGCTTAGGGTTTAGGGTTTAGGGTTTAGGGTTTAGGGTTTAGGGTTTAGGGTTTAGGGTTTAGGGTTAGGGGTTATACCCTCAACCCTAAACCCTAAACCTCAAACCCCAAACCCTAAAAAACCCTGTTTCAGTCCTCCACGGTCTCCGGCAGCTCTACTGGTGGGGCAGCATTCTCAGCATGCTCCTCAAAACCCTAACCCTAAACCCTGAACCCTAAACCCAAAACCCTAAACCTTTAACCCTGAACCCTAAACCCTAAACCCTTCAGTCGGACCCAGTCTGAGTTCACCGCAAGCATGGCACAAACACCGATGTGGGTTTCATGCACAAAATACCCCTTTCGGGTTTGGGGTTTAGGGTTTAGGGTTTAGGGTTTCGGGTTTCGGGTTTGGGGTTTAGGGTTTTGGGATTGCGCTCTAGGGCTTGTGAGGTAGGATGCCTCTTCTTGGTATCCCCCAAAAGAACACCCAAGGTATATACCCTCATTTGGGATGTTCCCCCTTAGACGAACAGTCCTGAAAAGGGATCCTAGTACCTCCCCCCCCTATTGTAATCCCCATTAAGAACTGCTAGTATATAGGGAACATCCCTAAACCCTAAACCCTAAACCCTAACCCCTAACCCCTAAAACCCTAAAACCCTAAACCCTAAACCCTAAACCCTAAACCCTAAACCCTAAACCCTAAACCCTAAACCCTAAACCCTAAACTCTAAACCCTAAACCCCAAACCCTAAACCCTAAACCCTAAACCCTAACCCTAAGCCCTAAACCCTAAATCCTTGACACGCTCATGGGCCTGGAGGAGCTCCACCTTGGGCACGACCTGTGCACG